TCCTCGACATTTTCAAAAGTATCACTATTAAAGTTATCAGACTATATGGATTAAATCTAATGCAAAAGTAAAAAGAAAGTAATTTTTGTTTTGTTTTAAAGGATTGACAGAATGAGCAAGGGCGATTGTTATTGTTACAACATTCATTACTTACATGAAGAAATGTAAATGATATGAATGATATATACAATAAGATGTCGTGGTGGTATAGATATAATGTCTTTTATAAATTGACGATAGACGGTTATCGAGAGATAGAAAGAGAGAGAGTGAGAGAGAGAGAGAGAGAGAGTGCTTGAAGATGTAAATGGAAAGAGAAGAGGACGACGACATGGAAGAATGGGAGATAGAAAGAAAGATAGATAGATAGAGAGAGAGAGAGAGAGAGAGATGGAGAGACACATTTAGAGAGCAAGATAGGGGAAATAGGGACAGCAAATTATCGTTCAAGAACACAATGAAAAATGTCTTTGGCAGCACAGGGTGTTTAAAAAGGAAGAAACATAGAATTAGAAAATGAAAGGTGACAAGAACGTCTGTACGTATAGGTCACGGGCGTTATTCCAACAATGTCCAATTGTCATGAGGGTAATTTGAAGGCATCCTGAACAAGCCCTTTACCCCAATGCATCATTGAACACCATAATGAAAGCATGAACAGCTAAATGATTGAACATTAGTTTTTGTGGTCGACGTGACATTTGTCGGCTCGTGTCCGCAAAACGTGTCAATGAGTCTTGCAGATGGTTGGAGCTGAGTTTTTGAAAATGGCGAACAGCTCGACGTCTGAATGACCTATGATCGTGACCATGTGCCCTTTAAAGCAAGTCTCTACCACAAAACGCTCAAAGCAGACAGTCAATGAACATTCTCTATGAAACAATAACTAATGCATTTGCAATGCAGTGTGTAATCAGTCGTGTTCGTCACCGTCTCAGAATTACGGGATATTATCTCGACATTACTATAATTATTGACGAAATGACAATAAAATGTGACATAAATATGATTTCTAGTATTTGAGCGCGTTTCTTTTATTAATGTTATTATCTTTACGAATTTGAAGCTCGTATATTGAAGGAATAAGGTAGGAAAAAAAAAATCATTCGAATGATATTGTGTAACTGACTCTAGAAATGTCTAATAGACCAGATTTAGCCCTCTGGGATATTATGCTTCAGTTTATTCGTTTTCTTTTCTTGAAAGTGCCCCTAAACTGTTTATTTCTGGTGGCTTTTGCGGTCATATTGAGCTCATTTTGCTATTTTTCCATTTAAAGAAATACCCAAATAGACTGGTGATACCTGACAACATGGTTTAGATTTGCTTTCATGACTTTGAGGGACACGTCTCCCAGTCAGGGCGTCGCAAGACACTTTTGAACGAGGGCGTAGGACGGGGGGGGCGGTGTTCTCAGATCGAATTAGCTGAACAATAAGAAAAGCCGATCCAACGCTCTCTCTCCCAATGAATAAAAAAGTATCATCAATATTTTCGATTCGCAGATCAGGCTTAACAAATAATGAGATGGGAGGAGGGGGGGGGGTGTCACCTGGAATATCACCTGGAACCCCCCCCCCCACGACCTCTTGATCGTTTGGCAAGCCAAACGCCATGGACGCGACATGGCAGTCCCCTTGCATCACCATTGCCAAGAAGCCTGTCACTCTTAACATGTCAAGCTCAAGTCTGATGACTGGACCCGGCTCCTCAAACAATCGGGTTACTGATAATATTTGTCAATTAAACATGAGTGGAGGCACTTAGGGAAGGCATTGGACTTGAAGAGCATGGGTGTGAGCGACTGTTTGCTGTAGAGACGAGACGACGAGAAAAAAAACGATAAATTTTCTCGAAGGGGAGGGGGGGGGGGGGGGACTTTGTGCAAGCGGTGGAAAACCGGCTTGAGAAGGCTTGACTGCTGCATCAAAGAACACCAGTATTGGAATATATTTATAAAAAGCAAGGTGGGTGTTTCCAAAGTTATCATAATATCTAGAGCACCAAATAAAGGTGAGACGTATATGAACAGCTAAAATGGCGGTTAATTTTTTTTCACTCTTCTTCAAAATGGTGTTATATGCAACTATTTGCCCAATGACAATGCTGCATGACGCAACATGACTTCGAATGCAGTCGAGTGTCATGTCTATAAATATGAGGCAACATAATGCGAGTATGACTCTCTCTTTGAACAGCATGAAACAAAACAAATATTAATAATTTATAGACGTCAATTGACAGAGTGGAAGATAACAATAGATAGAGGGAAAGGCATGTTCGTTTTTCTTAATAAATATCAACGCGCATAAAATTACAGCAAAACAAATAATGAATCTCATGGGCGGTACATGATGTTGAGATGTGTGTGGCCGCCGACGAACATGGGACGGGGGAGGGGGAGGAGGGGAGGGCGGGGGGGGGGGGGGCTCCTAAATACCCAATTGAAAATAAAGTGGTGGGTGTGAACCGTGTGATCGATCGAATCAAGTGTTTATGTGAGACGAGACTGGTTGAGGCGTACCCTGAGGTAGCCTTCATCTCCATCCAACACAGCCAGAAGGTTACATGCCAATGATATAGAACAAACTTACGAAGAGTGCTACATACATCATGTACACCCACTCAAAGGCGCATTTAAAGAGAAGAATGATTTTTTGGTAGAGGGGTAAAATAATTTGTGAGCTATTTCATTATTTTGATGCCAGTTTCGGAGAAAGTCATAGTAGAAGTGTACCCTGACATGCATTGATTTTCAAACGCCCTCATATTTTAAATTTGACTGTCATTAGTTGAAAAGTATGGGTCAAACATTCATGCCACATATTAGTGTAGTCCCACAGGCAGATTTCTGTGTGCAGTACATGCGACTTTCAGCAATAATTTTTATCAATTTGATGATTCTGAAACCTCACATTTCTATTAACTTCAAAATCAACCTTTCCTACTTGCTTCCAGACAGGTTTTCACAATAATTTTAATCTCAGGAACAAAACTCGAATTCTTCTCTAACAAAAACCTTGATATGCAAGTCAAGTCGAAGTTAAGAAAGAAAATGAGAGCTTAAGTTATAAGAATATGTTGACTTTTCTTTATACCCATATACCCATAAGTCTGTTCAAATAATAGTTTGCATCGTAAGCTCAACATCCCCCGATAGAGAAACGAAAATATGGTCGTATTTATTTCCCAAATACCTCGTGGTTAACTCGGTTCCAGATAAAACAAAGTGAGAGTTATTCAATTCAGCGAACGGGAAAAGTATAATTTGGAAACCTTGGCTGAGAAAATTGGATCGAGAGTATATCTTATACGAGTAAATTAAACCTTTCGGCACGTCGGATGATGCAAAACAGTAGCCAGAAACAATGACCTTAATATCGGCTGAGGGGTGTGGACAGCGCAGTGACGTGACACAGATAGGAGAGAAAGGGAAAGAGAGAGAGAGAGAGAGAGAGAGAGAGAGAAAGATAGAAATAGGGTTTGGGGTAGGAGGGGGGGGGCGCTCTAGTATAGTGATAACCGTGAGTTAATAGAAAAGTGTGAAATGATCCTCAAGTTCAATGTCGTAAAATTGATCTCTTTTAGAACAAGATAAAAGTATCAATATTAAGGTCAACAACTATATTTTGAACGATCAAAAATTTGCATTCAGGGTAACACTCTCGCAAGGTATTTTTAATTTAGCTGTACGATATCATCTGATAGAGCGGTTACGATTAAAGAGGGAGACAGATTTATTTGGAAAAAAGAAAAACAATTGATGACAATTAGACAGAAAGTGTAGCTATACAAAAAAGGGGACGGCGAGTCAATATTTTATTAATGATAATTTGCATTTCTATAGAGTTGGAACGATATAGGGTTAAAGGAAAAGGGTGTAAGTGGGGAAGGGGAGGGGTTTCGTGACCTTTGCCTTTGAACAAAAATGTCGACGTCACGATAGTTCGAGCAGGAGTAAATTGTAACAGAGTCGAAATTCTGTCTTAAATAGACTTGAACCAGGCTTCTGTTCCAGTTTTCTTTAGACCGCAATATTTAAGTTGGAGGGTTTTTGGATTGGTTCTGTTTCGAATTGATGGTCTAACCTGATTTTTACCCCCTTGGCTCGTCTTTGTGTCAAGGTCGGAGATGCTTGAACTCTATTAACCCTCACCAAACTCATAAAGAATCCCCGGATCAGGGCTCGACAGCCAAGAAGGATGGTGCTTGTCACTTCTCAGTGGCGGCGGAGACGTGACAAGCTCATTTACCGCCGTGTTACACGGCCGCAATAGTGCAGCGGAGAATGGATACCATTCCTCCCATGTTTCGCTCTGTATTGACTGTATTGGCCATGTTGCAAGTGTAAATGGGCTTTGTATATTTACTGATGCGCCTGTATTGTGCACGACCGATGCCAAGTACGGACCATTGCCCGTGTTCATATTCATTCGTGGTCATAATTCAATAAAATGATAACGCTTCATTATTGAAGCGAAATAGTCTTGTTTAAAAAATGTTTTCGTCTACGGTAGATGTTGAATTACAATGTACATAAGATAAACATATAGGATTAAATAAATGTTAAATCTATTTGAGGAATGTTTGAAAGGTTTAATATAAAACAAGTCTCATGACGAATGTACCCCTCAATAGTAACAATTAAGTAGAAATTGAATAAAAAATCACGTATCCCATGTCGGAGTACTTGTTTCTAGGCAGCCACGCCTAGCAACCACTGTCCATGCCATTTTATGCCACACGAAAATGGGCCTATATAAGACAGTCTTTATTATGCGAAGGCAAATCCAACTTTGAATATCACGATAATAGTATCCGAAGTGTTATTTTGCAGTTCATGAACTAGTTTTATATTTTCTACGTCAAGCGTTTTTTTTTAATACCAATAGAACAGAGAGTGGAATCCGAGCATATTATTGCGCTGTGCAGAAATGTCTAACATCCTCAATGTTACAACGTACCTTTAAATATTTTTCAATTACTCAATTATATCTCACCTTTGCAAACTTTCCTGTGCGTGATAGGTTTAGACTGATCCCGGTAGTACCCCTCCTTGCAGTAGTGGCAGTACCTCCCGTCCGTGTTGTGGCGACACTTGAGGCAGACCCCACCGCTCTTTCTCCCCGAGAGTTTGTACAGCTCCATGTTAAACCGGCATTTGCGTGCGTGCAGGTTGCAGTTGCATGCTGTAAGAAGACAAAATGACAATTTATGAGTAAAATATAAGAAAATGATTAATTACGATGATCTCTTTGAAGTTTCGAGACTTTCGAGATTTCAATAGCCTTGTCCTACACCTCTTGAATTGTGCGAACATTGTAATGACGTGTTATATTATTTATGTAATCTTAACAGGACATCAGGTTTGATTTGGACTTGAGTTTATTTCTCCAAAGTCGTAAGTTTGTGATCGTGTTTAGTGCTCATTTTCGTCATGGAGTGACGCTGCTTGGGTTCTATTGTAATTTTGGCAGGCCCTATTTGAAATAGGACTATCCAATTACTTGTAAATTTGCTACATTGGTTTCCATAGAAATATACGTATTGTATATGTTTTGTCACAGTTCTCTTTTAAATATGAAATATGACGAGGTGATTATAAGAGACTGAAGTAAACAATCCCCGGGGCATCGCACTGACCACGGTTTAACCCAATTAATCCATTTGGTTCGACGAAACGGACTTAATTTAACCTAAAAAGAAAAACATTGATTAAATTTGACCATGTCTAATAATCCTTTGGGCTATTCTACCACGAAAAGTGGCATTGACCTGTTTAGGATTGCCCCAAAGTGTGTCAGCTTGTCAAAAATCTAGAATAACGTGCCAAGGCGATCCAAATATTTCAAAACCTATCAACACATGAATATGAAGCTGTGGGACTACAGGGATGACAAACATGGTCAAACGATTTTAATTTGATAGTTTACACTCTGGCATGCGCCTTCATTCTCGCCATTTAAATGTATCTTATATATTTTGTTAAACTACATATTGGTATATCTGATGATGAGTTACAGAATCATAAATAAGACGTGCCCTTAGAGTTGTGAGCTAAACATTTATCAACTTTAATGACGTGTTTCAGTGGGTACTATACGTGTTGATCATGATTATCTTTACATAATGCGATAATTCGCCAATAACTGTCACCACCATACAGGAAAATAAGAATAGTGTAATAATATTCACAACGATTCACACAATATTGTGTCAAAAGTTTGATGAAGGCCCATGTGTTATTCAAAATGAAAATTGATTCATCGAATTAAAACAAAATAAGTTAATTTGATTTGATTGCTTTGGATTTACAAATGTATGTATTCAAATGATGATGCCCGATTACGCGTTTGCCAGGAGACATAATCTAATTTCAACAATTTTAAATGGTTCCTGGAATAAACCTGACTTTAAATTCGATATCTAAGTTTCTAAATATAGAATTTGTCCAAAGCTAATTTAAATACACAGTTTTTCCCCATTTTCCTTATCGCCGATTGACCAATTGTTCAATCAAACACGTTCCTTCGCTGCATGAACTCCCTGCGACCTAGTCACGTGATACATAATTGTTGAGGAATTGGAAACAAAATTGTAGGAAAGGGTAAAAATAACACTATTCAATGAGTGCTGTCTACCCAGCTGAACCCACATCTAGGTGTGAAACGCGGAAGAGAAGAAACGCGCGCGAAACTAGAAGTACAACAAAATATCCCAACCGCAAACAGTCGTCTGCGTCCATTTGTACGCGAAGCATAATGTTTATTGACAGCCTACATTAGTAGGCAGGGTTGGTCTCTAAGAATACGTTTACTTCATAATTAAATTTAATTTGAATAATCATAGCGCGACGGAGTCGGAAAACGAAACGATAATCATTTAGGTGTGTATCGATCCTTCGCGACAAAAGTTTCCGCTCGGTCCGACAAATTCGATTCCTTGTTGCAAGTCACTGTGGAAACTTTGGGCACGGTTAATTTCATTTGTGTGGCTGCGCATTATTCATTTTTTCTTCTTTATGAAAGATCAAAAGAACGAAGGAATGCCAATAAAGAATTAGTTCGCACGTGTTGGTAATTCAATCATGACTCGCTGTGTTTGTGGTCAATTCGGTTATTTGTCTGGCTGAAAGATTTAAGGTGGCTCTTTTGACGGCGGATAAATAATCGTCCAATTTGATGACCATGAGATGCATATTTTAGGCACGTTATATCAACCACAGGACTTCCAAATCTCTCGCCTTTCCAGGGCCATCGTCACGTACTGAAACCATGCTGAAACCAAATCCCTTCTTGTTGGTGTATAGACCCGTTGAAGAGGCGATCACCGTTGCTTTAGAGTTTCAACATAATTTATGATTTTGGTCAGAAAGGTATTTAACAGCTTGAAAATATCGTTAAATCGTCACCTCGTATACATTATATCGCTCTATCCGGTTCCCACATTCCCTCGACAACCCCCCCCCCCAAGAGATATTTTAAGCATCCAAATAAAATTGTTCAAATGCTACACTATGTCATGTTATGCGGATGTTGATAATTTCACATTTTTTGTCGGGGTGGGGGCTGGATCGTTTTATCTTTTCTATTCTTGATGGGTCGAGGTCCTTAAACCATTTAAAAATTTCATTTTTACAATCGCAATGCAAAAATCAAACCATTTGTAAGCTTTATAGTAGGGATTGATTCCACGCAAAAATAAGGGTAGACAACTACCTTATTTCAAATGTACTACTGTGCAGACTAGACGCTTTTGATCGAGAAGCGTTATGTCAAGACTATAGTTTAATAGTCTATACTGTTCAATTCAAAATTCAAAACAAAATATGAATATTCATAAACAGGTGTATAATCTATATATATACGAGCTTCATACTATAACAAATAATTGTGTATTTAGTGAGTAACTGTTTCTGCTAATGTAATCTCCTTCCAGTCTACCACAGAGGGACTCCACAAACCCGCGGTTACAGTTAGGAAAAGGCGCTGGTAAACAGCGCTGATGGAATTTTGATGAAAGTTGAGCATCTATAACGACAAAAGCAGGAGATGAGCAAAAGTGTTGGGCAGTTCTACATTTCCAAATATGACCACGCGAACCTCATTAATCATATTCTAATTTAATTACCAGCACGGTTTTCCCATATTTTCGTTCTGCGGTAGAGTTTGAAATAATAGAAACGAGTTCGAAAGTTTTCTAGATATTATGATGACTTGAATTTGAAATGTCAAATGACGTACCAGATGGAGACTCGCTTTGAACTTTTTATAGATCAGTCTTGGCCCAAATTCATAAGCTAGAAATGTCATAAAGTAACGATATCTATAAACCTATGATCTAGATTACTGCAGAGTTAGTGGTAATTATGGCTTCGGCCAATAACCACATCTTTGCGGGAAAGTTACGTGAAGTTTGGTGGAGAAAAAGAAAATTTAACCATGACTTTGTATTGAAAAATATTTCCAAGTAAGATATAATGGCATACTCTACTGAAAGCTCCACTAATCACAATGAGAAGGGTCATCAAGATAGTTTGGATACAAAGTTTCTTCACTCTAATGGGAGATCGGGGGGGGGGGGGGGTGGACAGGAGCGGGCTCAAAAGGTATCTGGGAAATAGAATAAGAATATAAAGAATATACCACCATCCAAAATGTGTGGGCAATTTTGAGACCACAATATCTTGAGAAACCTTTTAAACCAATAAATCAATCCCCTGTTATAAGTTACATGGACCTCGCCGTATTTTAGAACAAGGGGAGACAAATTTGATATATCATAACCGCACAAATGTACATTTGTATCAACACTTACATGTACCGAACACTCATGGTACAGGACAATTCATTACTGATTGTGATAGCATTAACAACAATACTTGCATAGAGTTTGCGATTTTCATACAAACACACATTTTGTGTTTAAAAGCGGATATTTTTCTTTTCACAGTCCCATCATCTTTACATAATGCGGCAAGTAAATATTGGCGATGTGAGCCCAGGTTCACCATATTGAGTAGATACGGGTGGAATTTTTCTTTTCAAAAACTCTTATTTTTGGAAGAATAACCGAAGGTCATGGATTCAACGCGGAGAGCAACAAATCAAATATTGACTCAACGTATTGGTAGAATGATCGCAAATCTGACAATTCAAGTCTTTTCATTCTCAAAAGGACAAAAGAACCTGTCCATATTTCTGTTTGCATATCAAAGTGGATAAATATTTAATACGATTAGCAGACACTTATGGGGAGGAAAAACGGCTTTGTATATCCTGAGAAACAAGAGCAAATCAGATTGTTGAGCAAGTTGCAGAATATTAAAACCTTTCTTACGGGGAAGAGAAATAGCTTTGTACATTCTGGATTACATGAAGATTTCGTCGCTGAAATTTACGTAGACTTTGGAAAGAACATCTACAAATTTGAAGCAAACTATATTACACAGAACATGTTTAAAATGATAAATACAGAAATGGTGGGGCCCCAATATGGATAAGCTTTTGCTATTATTTAGTATTAGAGCGTTCCACCTAAATTTATAAGACGAAACAGAACTTGATGGGATTAAGATCTCATCTCTGCGAAGAAAGCAAAGTTTGAATATAACATGGGTTTTGGGGGAATCAAGTAAGCGCCAGCAAGCAGGGTTTTCTACCTAACCGCAATATTAACAAGACAGAATAACCATTAGAGTGGAAAAGTAAAAAGGAAGCATTGATTTTAATTCCACATGATGTGAAAATTGTGACTTTAGCAAGGTTTGAAAACTAAGAAGCACGGCTTGCGGTTTGTTGTCACGCAGCTTGAAGCCGTTCTGAAGGACGGGTGAATTCGAGGGGCTAAAATTTAACTAGATTATGAGACAAAGAAAGTCGTCTATTATTGAAAATGAATGAAAATTTGTGTCAGCTTATGGTCTGCTAATCATGCTTCATTCATTGTTTCAAGATATAGATTGTTGGAGCGTGGTAGGTCCATGGTTAGAGGAAGTTCTTTTGAAAGAAAAAACAGCTCTACAAAGATTCTGACTCAAAATTAACCTTGTCAGATGACGGGGGGGGGGGGGGGGGGGGGGGCTCTAAAGTCACAACTGTTATTAGATCATAACTTTTGATAATAGATAAGAAGCATATTTTCTAAATGAAATAAATAATTTCTGCCCCAAGCTTGATCAATGCG